TCATGATCCTTGGAAATTTGAAGTTCCAAATTGATATCAACACCTGCCAAATCACCACTTATCCTACCTTTAGCAAGGAACTACGAAATTATATCAATTACGACAAAATAACCCTCAAAACAATCGAATTGATATACGCCAGCTAAAGAATGTAAAACAGAAAACCACAAGATATTGTGGTGTGTGCTTATAAATGCGTATAATATAAAATTCTTAGAAAACGATTCGAAAATCTTCACTTATTAGATGAACCCAAAGTTAAAGAAACTATGGATTCTATTTCTTTCTCTTATTACAATATGTAAAAGGTCAGAAACAAAATGAGGTTGTAAATATTTTGATATAAAATGATTGATGTTGATTTTACATGTGGAACAATAAATAGGTACTACAAAAAAGTATTTATTGAAAAAAGTATTTTGAAAATGTGTATTTTGCATTTAGCATTTAAAATACCATTTTACACATCATTTCATTTTATCAAATGCTTCAAATGCATTAAAATCTTAAAATGCATTAAAATCTAATGAAGATCTGTTCTTAGAGATATATGAGGTTTATACAGTAATTAATGGGGGGATAACCCTGAGTAATGCTTCGAAGGAATTTTTTTTAATTCCGTGGCTATTTTTAGCGCCAGGGGGCATCCAAGTTGACCATCGGTGATTGGCTTTTAATCACAACAGTTTATTAAAGTAGTATTGGAAAAATTCTTGCATATTCTTTTTAAGCATGTTACGATCCATAAGGAATCGACTTCTAAATTAGTTACAATAGCCTGAAGAAAAAATAACCATAACCATATAATCGAAAAACATATCATTCAACTCATTGCATCATTATGTACAAACCATTTTTTAAAAAAGAAGAAACAGTAAGTAATGACACTCCTCAAGTAACAATAAAATTAAAAAATATTTACAGGAAACTTTTGGAAATTTTGGTAGGGTACATTCAAAAACCCAAAAAGATGCCTAATTTTGAATTCTATAGGCCGTCATTTAGAATATTCAGGAACAAGAAACTTAAAGATGTATACATATTTTTTAGGTTTTTCATATTTTCAAATACGTACACATTTTCTAAAAATTTACTCCATGTCTGATCGAGAAGTTACTAACAATTGATGCCGAAGTCTAGAATTATGAAAAAAAAAATAGATTCCTATAAATAGTGTCAATTTTTAAAACAACTAAGTCAATAAGTTGTTTGATTCATGATCGAAAAAGAGTCAAAAACACCATCTCCATTTCCGAACAAAAAAATCGTTCAAAGGAAAAATATAAAAAAGCTGTTAATTTTCGCCCCTACTTGTTTAAAAAGTTAAACGTGAACATCAAAAGATGATGAAGTCCTTTGAGGGAAAAGTATGTATAATTTACATGATTAATAAACATGGGATTTTTCCTACTTTCCAAATCAACTTCACATTACTTGATGATAATGATGTTAAGTCACTAATAAACAGTCAAGGAAAATCCTACAACTTTTGGGTGATTATAAATGAAGCACAAAAATATACCAACTAACTTAAATTTAACGTTACTAAAATTATGTTTAGATACATCCTCTTAATACAAATGCAGCCTTTAATTTTCGAGTTATCAGCGCGTTTCGCAACTTTTGGCATGCACCTTTGCTACCACACAGTGATCAAGAAAATTGACATTCTTCTTTACAATTTTTGAAAACAAAATTATTAATAACATTCTACTGTAAACGAGAAAACTGCTACACTAGAACTTAAATGTTTTTTTTTCTGAAAAATTCTGTTGTTACGATTTTGATCATAATTTCAAGTTTTTACGCGATAGTACTTGCAACTAGTGGTAGATGACAACATAATAATGAATAATAATAGGTAATAGAAATTTAATAAAAAATAATTTAATAATAAACTAAATTAATTTCAACTGTATTTCAGACAATAAGAAAAAGATTATCTACATGAAGACTACAAATTTCTTTGGATTAAGTGCGTGTTTTTTGCTAAAAAGGGATAAATAAGTTTCAGTTCCTACTGCAATACCTAATGTACGAGGGTGGATTGATAAGTTTCCGGCCTGACCAAGAAAAACAAGGTTTTTAAAAATTTTTTTTTTTTATTTCTCAACATAATCTCCTCCAAGGCTGATACATTTCTCATAGCGGTGTTCCAGTCTATTAATGCCATCTCTATAGACTGATTCGTCAAGCTCCTCAAAATAACCATTTACAGCTTCGATTACT